GACTACTCAACTGGTGCAGCACCGTTTGCAGAATGGGACTTTTGGCGGGCTCAGCAGGGCAGAGACAGCCTGGACAATTCCTATTGGCTTTTGAAAGCCAATAGAATTAGACTCTATTCAAGAGACTCTATTCTATTGGCTTTCAAAAGCCAATAGAATAAAAGGGAGCAGCATAGCTAAGGAAAAGGGGGAAAAATGGCGACCCCCGTGAAATGGTCATTCGACCCCAAATGGGATCCCGACCCACAGGTTGAGAACCACTGTTCTAGAGGCAAATGACAAATGACAAATGACAAATGACAAATACTTACAAACAGCAGGAAGGCAGTAATAAATGGTAAGAAACGTTAATATTTCACACTTAAATCAAAATGTGGAATCACCAAAAAGGTTTAGAAATACTTTTCTTAGTAATATAGGTATAGGTAATCCTTGATGTTCAACCACAATTGGGATTGGAATCTCTATTGTTGAGTAAAGACAAGACTGCCCATGTTTGTTGAGTAAAGCCAAGACTGCCTACTTTGCTCAATGTGTGCAATCCTCACACTCTTCATTTGAGATAGTTAAGCAACTACACAAGTTGTTAATTGAACAGAGGTGGGGTGCCTCAGGGCATGTGGGAGCCTTGAGAGGCTCCACTCAGGAGCTGAAAATTCTCCCTGCTGGAATCCAAGCAGGATTTTCAGCCTTTGAATGGAGAGATACTGACATGTGGCTTGCACTGGGCCTCTCAAAGCCTCCCCCACCTGCCTGAGGCACTACAGATAGTCATTTGTTAAGTGAGTTTTGTCCCATTTTATGATTTTTCTTGCCACAGTTGTTAAGTGAATCACTGCAGTGGTTAAGTTAGTAACACAGTTGTTAGGTGAATCTGGCTTCCCCATTGCTTTTGCTTGTCAAAAGGTTGAAAAATGTGATCAAATGACCCTGGGACACAGAAATGGTCATTCATATGAACAATTTGCCAAGCATCTGAATTTTGATCATGTGATCATGGGGATGCCTTAAAGCAGCGGTTCTCAATCTATGGGTCGTGACCCCATTTGGGGTCGATCAACAATTTCACGGGGTTGCCAAGCAAGGCTGTCCGCCATTTTTTTCCCCTTTTCCGGCGGGTGCCTTACCTCCCTTGGGCTGGGCCAGCTGGTGGCCCAGCCGGTGGTCGGCCTGCTCCATCTCTGCCGCTTGCCAGCTAAGCCTCGGCCGGCCCAGGGGGCGGCACCACGCATGCGCAGCGCTCCCGGGCAGGGAAAGTCCTTGACTTACGACCGGTTGGGTAGTCCTCAACTTACAACCAGTTTAGTCCTTGACTTACGACTGGTTTAGTCCTCGACTTACGACCGGTTTAGTCCTCAACTTACGACCGGTTGGTGGTCGCGGCATTAAAAAGGTTGAGAACCACTGCCTTAAAGGTTGTGTGAAAAATGGTCATAAGTTACTTTTTTCAGTGCTGTTGTAACTTTGAACAGTCACTAAATGAACTATTGTAAGTTGAGGACAACCTATACATGCTGTATACCCTCCTCTACCCTCTACTCAGCTCCCGCTTGTCTCTAGGGATTGGTTGAAAGAATTCAGAGTTCAGCTCCCCTCCATGCATAGAAGGAACTCCTTTAGTGGCTTGCAGGAACAGAGTTAAATTTGTCAGAATTGTGAGACCTCATATGACCAGATCAGATCTGTCAGTTCTACAGCATTAAGCAAGTCATCCATTTTTGTTAAATGAGACATCACATGATTGCAAATTGCAATTTTACTGCTGGCTTTTCTACTGACTGCAATTCTGAAGAAGCTTCTTAGATGAGAAGCGAAACATTGTCAAAGGAAAAAAAAACAAGAAAATCCAATTGCCTTTTGGAAAAAAAACCTTTTTGGCAACCATGATCTGCATGACTGAGAATCTCCATAGACAACACTTTGGATTTGAAGGGAGCATGTGACTGTGCTCATGTTGGCAATTCTTAAACTGAATGCATCTTTTTGCAGGATTGCATGGCAGCTATAGAGAATTCCATGGAAAATGCATCTGCCAACATGAGTACAATCATGTGTTTCAAAGTACCGTTTTCCCTTTAAGACCAAATTATAGTCCCATGGTTTCTGGCAAAAAAGTGATGAAGAAAAAAAATGGCAACAATTAGAAATAGCACTGTGTGTATAGTATATATCTTACTACAATCTTCAAAAAAAATTGCTTAGGAGGAGCTGTGACTCTTATCACAGAAGACAGCAGTGGTCAACTTTTTTGTGGCCACAATACTACTAATTAGTGGAAGCAAATATGCCAGTGATAATTTTTGTAAGTGAACCTGAAGATAGTTTCAAATATACTGTAACCTAATGTCAACATGGCATTATATACGTGACTATGAACAAATATCTTTTAGCTAAGAAAGGATACAACTAGCAAACCAACCTAGAAAATAGAATCCCAGGTACCACAATCAAAATGTAATCCTATTTTTTTTTAGAAAAAGGCAACCTATCTAAAGCCAAATATTGCTAAGTTCAAAATTTCTTCTGCAACTTTTTCACTACATAATTCCATTTGAGAGAAAAGAAATAGCTTTAAAACTTAGAGAAAAAATGTTGGACTTCCAGTTCCGGTTTGCGGAGACAGCGGTCATGCAAAGAAAGTTGTCTCTTCGCCGGCTGGTTCTTCTTCGCCGGTAGACCCTGAAGAGGGTTGAAAGTCGCCCTGGAGGGGCAACCACCGATGAGGAGGCTTTTGGTGACTGCGGGAGGGCGACAGCTTCTCCCGTGGCTCCAGCTAACTCCTTAGGGCCGACGGAGTAAAGATTGCCCAGCAAGATGGCCAATCATGCAGCTGCACCAGCCGAAAGTCATAAGAACATCTAAGTGTAAAGAACCACCATGGATGATCCGGGTGAGACCTTTCTTTTTTCTCTCTTCACCCTACTTTTTTTTCCCCTTTAAAAAGCCTTTCGGAATTATTTCCCTGCCTTGAGAGAGCGGTGTTTGTTTGCGTGGGGAAAAAAGCACTGAATAAAAGGACAGAATAACTAGCTTTAATGATTATATTTTACTTGTATCTACTCTGGGGTCCCGAAAAAACCCTTACAGTGCTCTACTACCTGATCTAATTTATATTTGGAGAATATTTCTTTTTCTATTTTCTTTCTAAAAAAGAAAAACAATCATTTTATTGGTGTCTGGAAAAAGAGTCTATAACCCACTAAGAACATCTTGTAGTGAAATTTAATATTGCAATTGCATGCTTTTGTTTGAAATGAAGGTTGGTTTTGACCTTCAAATTACTATAAAAGAGAAAAGATAAAGAAGTTGATGAAGCTGTTAGAAACTGTGGGGGTGGACATTGGTTAACTGTTATTAAATATAGCCTCCACTAAAAGATAAAAGAAAAGAAAGCCAGAATAAGACTGAAAAAAGAGATCCAAAATTACATGTAATGGGTTAAAAAGGCCTTTTAGAGATATGGATTGATTTAAGGTTTAAGACCCAGACTTAGAAGCGAGAGGAAAACTCGTGATTAGTAGAATATATATGTGAAATAGAGTAAGAATGTATCTTTTGAAATAATATGTTTATTTTATGTATGAAAATTACCTTGTAATGGAATGAGAATAAGAAAATGGATTGTGATAACTTTAGACTTTAGAGATTTGGACTGATTTAACAATTAACTAAGTATGTGAAGTTAGCAAGATGATATTTTGTGTAACAATGTTTGTTTTAGATATGATAATTATTCAGATGAGATTTAAATCTTGCCTAATGGACTGAAACGATTTTTTTGTCTTGTTTTGTTATAGAAATAGATTGACTGATAGATTATATATATAAAATAGAGTAGAGTAATATTTTTTATCATAACTAGGATAACTATTTTGTAGTGGAAGAAGAAATAAGAGAGATTTGTAATAAGAGAAAAAATGATACTAATCAATGACTTATTAGATTAAGAAATAGAATATATCTGGAAATAATATTGGAATATTATGTGTATTTGAGAAGGGGTACCCAAAGTGCTAATAATATGTTTATTCAAGATTAAATTGGATTATGGTAATTCTAAATCAGTAAAGCTTAAAAATAGGATTTGGATTTATATAGATATAATGTAGAAATGGATTAACCTAAATATGTTATATTATTTGAGGGAAACAGAGACGGAACATTTAATGAATTAATTTGAGTTATATATATATGACTTTGTCTTTGGATGATTGATTACCCCATCACCACGGTGTTTCTCAAGCACTTTGATGTAAAAGTTAAAAAACCAATAAAACTTGTTTATAAAAAAAAACTTAGAGAAAAATGTTGGTTGCATGAGTAATATATGAGCTCAAATATATCTTTTATTGGTCCAAATGTCCTGTCTGTCTCCAATCTTTCCAGAAGTCTAGAGTCTCTGGGATTTTTCCTATTAAACCCCAAGAAAAACATCATGAGAAATCAGCTCTGACAGAAGCGTTTTCAGATCAAGAAGTAGGAGCAGCCACTGAGACCACAGAGTGATACTGAAAAGAATATTGTTGCTCTCTCCTACATAGCAGCCAAACCAAATTCAAAAATATCAAAAGCTCCATGATATTAAAGTAGGAAAGCAGAAATCTGCTTTTCAGGAAAAAAAAGATTATTCTGGAAATTGCTAAAATAAATACTAGCACAACCTGCTCCAGTTCATTTTATTCAACATTATCAAGCCACACAGTCGACTCAGAAATCTTGAAAGCTTTCCTATGGTGAAACATTTAAATTCATGAGGGTACTGAAACCAATTCCCATAAGTCTCCAAATGATCCTTGATACATGCTAAATAGCAGAAGAACAGCTGGATTATCACCAGCTGAGCCAAAAGCCAGAAGGAAGGAAGGGCTTAAATAAGATGCAAAATCTCCGCTAGGTGCTCAGTGGCATTCTCTGCTGCTAGTGGGCAGAGCATCTTAAGAACAATGTTTTATATTGTAAGTAATGAGCTGTGAAATGGGATGTACAAAAAGCAAACTTACCGAGAATGAGAAATGAAGTCATAAACAGGTATTTGAACTGCCTTTCCATCCATGATCTTTTTAAGTGTTTGGACAATCAATTCATTGTCAAAGGCATCTGTAAAGAGAATCACAGATAATATGTAAAGATGTGATTAACATATAAGCTGTTGGGCTTTCAATGTGTGACTGACCTTCTGATGGAAGCATCCAGCTAGCATCCAGGTAAATTATCTATTTTATACTGAGCCTCCTTAAATTTATGTAGTCTTCTCAGATCTTTAGCTGCCATGAAAAAGTGCCTACTACTTATCCCACTTTCTTGCAGAGGGAAAGGAAATACTAATGCCTTTCCTCAGGGGAATGAGTAATTGAAAATGGTATTAAATGGAAATGCTTACAACTTTATGATAGTAGACACAGCCCCAAACCTCCCGTGTCTCCATTTACTGCTTTGGAAAAATTGAAGGTTGGAAATGTGCCTGTTTTGTTCTGTGAGTTTTTATCTGATTATTCATAATTTTGTGTATTTTTCTTTGTATTTAATTTTAATATTTGATAGTCTTTAATGCTATCCATAGCCTTCTAGCCCAGGTAGCTGCTTTTCATGGTTGGGCCACTTCTCAACAGATTTGTATTTTTAGAAAGCAGATTATAGCATTATAACATTTCAGTCTTCCAAGTCTGCCTTGAGGAAATTAAAAGACAAGATGTGTCTATGATTATCCATCCCCTTATCAATCTGTGACAAGTCACCTGGATGGTTAAATATTATTTTTCCATAATATTATAAACTAGCCATTTCTATAACAATAAATGAATCTAATCAGTAAAACCCAAAATCATCTCCTTTTTTTTAGCCATCAAGTTTTTGACACCTTGCTAAGTACTGGTGGTACTCAAATATTGTCATGTCCTAAAAGTGGTACAATCTCTGAAAAGGTTGAATAGCCCTGTCTAGGGCAACCTCCTGCTTGAGCAGGAGACCCTATACCAGTGGTGGCGAACCTATGGCACGGGTGCCAGAGGTGGCACTCAGAGCCCTCTCTGTGGGCATGTGTGCCGTCGCCCCAATCCTAGGCCTTTAGGTGGGTTTTATAAAACCTTTTTGCTTTAGGCCTCTGCTGCCGTGTGCAAAAAAAAAAAAAAGGTTCAATCAATCATTCAATTTCAACTTCTCATGGGAAAAAAAAAGATCTTGTAAAGTTGGAATTGATTGATTGAACTTTTTAGTTCCACCCAGTCTGCCATTACCACCGCAGCCACACCCAGCCAATGGGCCACACCCACCCAGCACCCGGCGATGCATGGGTTTTGGGTTGCAGTTTGGGCACTTGGTCTCTAAAAGGTTCGCCACCACTGCCCTATACCATCCAGAAAAATAGCAGTCCAATCTTTTCTTAAAGGCCTCCTGTGATGGAATATTCAAACGTCCAGAGGTAGTTTTTGTTCTTATCGTCAGAAAATTTTTCTTTAATTCCAAGTTGGATCTCTCTTTGATAATCTTCCATCCAGTGCTTCTTGTCCTGCCCTTTAAAGAAAGATCAACCCCCTCTTCTCTGTGACAGCCTTTCAAATATTGGAATACTTGTCATGTCATTTCTACTCCTTCTCTTCGCTCAACCGTTCATTGTACACTTTAGCCTTTAGTCACTAATCATCTTTTTTGCTCTTTTCTGTATTCTTTCTAGAATCTTTTGCATCATGAACAGAATTGAACACAATACTCCAAGTTTGGCCTTACCAGTTTGTTGACAAGCAATAACTGCTGCAGTAGGGAAAAAAAACCATTTGACAACAGCACTGAGGCAGGTTGGAAAACCTGCTACAAAGAAAAAGCCATGAAATCTCACTCCCTTTTGTCCAAGTTTAGTATTGGAACATTTGCAAGAAAGGAGAAAAGCATACCCAAAATCAAGTGAAATATCACATTGGCCTAAGTATTCAGACCCTTCACTCAGTATTTTGTTGAAGCACCTTTGGCAGAAATTACAGCCTCAAGTCTTTTGGGCTATGACGCAACAAGCTGAAAATCCTCTCAAGCTTAGTCAGGTTGGATGGCGACCGTTGATGGACAGCCATTTTCAGGCCCCTCCAGAGATGTTCAATATGGTTCAAGTCAGGGCTTTGATTGGGCCACTCTAGAACAGGTGTCCCTAAGCCACTCCTATGTTGTCTTTGCTGTGTGCTTAGGATTGTTGTCTTGTTGGAAAGTGAACTTTTGGTCCAGTATGAAGTCCTGAGCACTGTGGAACAGATTTTCATTGAGGATATCCCTGTACTATGCTCCATTCAGCTTTCCCTCAACCCTGGCCAGTCTTCCTAGTCCCTGCTGCTGAAAAATACTCCCACAGCATGATACTGCCACTACCATGCTTTATTGTTGGGATAGTACTGGGTTTCCTCTAGACATAACATTTAGAATTGAGGCCAAATAGTTCAATCTTGATTTCATCAGACCAGAGATCTTGTTCCTCACAGTCTGAGAGTCCTTCGGGTTTTTTGCAAACTTCAAATGGGCTTTCATGTATTTTGCATGAGGAAAGGCTTCTGTCTAGCCACTCTGCCATAAAGCCCATATTGGTGAAGGTCTGAAATGATGGCTGTCCTTCTGGAACTATGTCCCATCTCCACACAGGATCTCTGAAGCTCAGTCACAGTGACCATTGGGTTCTTGGTCACCTCTGTAACTAAGATCCTTTTCCCCCAATTGCTCAGTTTGACCAGAGGACTAGCTCTTGGAGGAGTCCTGGTTGTGCCAAACCACTTCCATTTGAGAATTATGGAGGTCATTCTGCTCTTAGGAAACTTTGATGTAGCAGAAATTTTATTGTAGCCTTCCACAGATCTGTGTCTTGCAATAATCCTTTCTCTGAGCTCTGCAGTTCCTTTGTCCTCATGGCTTTTGCTCTGCTACAGTATGCATTGTCAGCTGTGAGGTCTTCTATAGAGAGATGTATGCCTTTCCAAATCATGCCTAATCAATTTAATTTATCACAGATGGATTCCAATCAAGGTGTAGAAACATGTAGGCAACGATCAAGAAAAATGGGAAGTACCACAGCTAAATTTCATAAGTTGTTGCAAAGGTCTGAATACTTATGCCAATGTGATGTTTCAGGGTTTTGTAAAATAAATTTACATGCATTTCTAAATTTCTGTTTTCACTTTGTCATTATGGGGTACTGAGTGTAGATTAATAAGGAAAAAATGAATTTCAACAACTGTATAATCAGGCTATAGCATAACAAAATTGACAAAAATGAAGGGGGTCTGAATACTTTCTGAATGTACCGTCTCTGGTCAAGAGAAAACTGAGGGAGGCTACTGTAGTGCTCTTCAAATATCTGAAAGCATGTCAGAAAAAAAGGGTGGGGTATCATATACATACATATACAATGTAGACCTGTGAGATATAATAAGTTGTAATCTTCCATAATGTAAACTAGCATATAACTTATGAATAATAAGGTTCATTCTTTATTCAAATTACCTAGAGTTAGAATTTTAAAGTACCGGTATAACCACATAATACTACATATCCAAAGCACAGCCATGTTTGCCTGATGCATGAAATCTGCTAGGCTTGAGATGTGTACCAGGTACTGCATTGTACAGATAAACAAGAGAACTGATAAGGGAATACCAAAGAGGTGAGAAATGAAGGAGCTGAGTGCTTAGCAAGTTTGTATAACAATAAGGGTTTAACTAACTTTAAGCATTTAGATGTGATGACACATTATAGGTGGACTGTGAGCATGTGACTGACTTAGGCCTATCAACTAGACCCAAGGAGGAGGGACTGTGTGGCCGGGATAGAAATGTATTTAAACTGCTGAGATCTGTAACTATGTGTGATCTTTCTCTCTTGCTTGTATGCTTAGAGATCCATCAGCCTTTGCAAAAGCTCTAATAAGACACTTTATTTCCAATAATTTGAATATGAGCCTTGTTTCTCACAGATCTAAAGGTGTAGTTCCAAAGTTATGACTGATGCAGTGCACCCACGGTCATTCACTTTTCATGGGCTGCGTGAAAAGTTCCACAATTTTGGGATTGTGCCATGGTAGCCCAGGACTGGAGCAGCCTTCCCTTCTTTGCTAACCTGAGTTCTGCAGAACTTTGAAAAGGAAGTGTACAATGGGTAACATGGGCTGATGAGAAGGGTGGAAAACAGGCCCAAGGCCTGCAGGGACCCCAAGGAGCAGGAATTGAAAGATGAGGTGCCTCGGGATTGATGAAGTCTTGGGAAGTCAGGAGTATGGTCTGCACCAGGCCTCCTGGGGCTCCTAAGGCACCCTATACTCTACTTAATGACCCACACTTTCATTTAATGACTGCATTAGGAAGAGCAGGGATGAAGGCCCAAGTTGTTAAGTAGAACACAGGGTTCCTTAAGGGCCCAGGAGAGGCACTGGGAGACGCAGCATAGACCCTGCTTGGAGCCTCCCAAGACCTCACCCACACCTTGAGGCACCTCATGCTTCACTTCCTGCCCCTCAGGGTCCCTGCATATTGTGTGGATGCTTCACTTAATAGCCATGACTTTTACCTTTTGACTGTAATAGGCAGGCTCCATTGCATTCATTGGTCAAGGACTACCTATACCCACCTGAAATAATCTTTTGCAGAATAAGGTTGTATGGCAGAAGGAAATCAGAGCAGCTACTGAATTAAATTTCTTAATGCTATAAAAAGGCCAGCAAAGACCCACTGTGTAGCTTTCTTTATTTATATTGTACTTATTTTTATAAATAATTGAAGGCAGCAAACAAACACAATACTCCTTTTTCTCCTATTTTCTCCACAGCAATAACTCTGTGAGGTGAGTTGGGATAAGAGAGTGGGTGACCAAAATCACCCAGCTGGCTTTCATGCCTTACACAGGACTAGAAAAAGTCTCCTGGGTTCTAACTTGGCCTTAATATCATAAACCAGTGATAGCGAACCTTTTGGAGAAGACATGTCAAACACAAGGCCCGGAAGCCAGATGAGGCCCACGAAGTGGTTTCATGTGGCCCGCGAAGCCATCCTGGAAACAGTGAGGGAATGGCCCCCGCTGCCTTGGTCCTGGCCCAGGCCGGCTGGGAACCAATGTACAATTTTGTGGTGGCCATC